AGATACAGATATATATATATATTTTTTTTTTTTTTTAAAATTTATTTATATGCATATTTACTAACTACCTAGTCAGTGAGTATTTTAATTTAGCATTCATATTAACATCTGGAGTCTGATTGGGACATTTTTTGTCTCAAAGTTTTCGTATCCATCGGACTGCGTGATAATGTGCACCTGGACCTCATCGTTCTCTGTGTGAGATCTTGCATGTACCACCTGCATGGGGGCGCTTCTCCAAAGAACCGTTCTTCCTGACACCTGCAAATCTCTTAAGTAACCTCATTTCCTTTAATTGTAGATTCACGCTGCCAGACTGTTTTTTAAAAAACCGACTTTGTACCGTTGAAAAGAAAAATTATATAAAATTTCATGGCTCCCTGTGCCGTTTCTTTTCTTTTTTGTTTGTTTGTTGTTGCTTTTTTGTTTCATGGGGATCAACACTTTTGTTTGTATTTATCGAAAAGTTTTTAATTTATGCCCATTAATGTTTACCACGTTTATATGAAAGTAAAGAAATATTATGAACATCCAATACTCAACCAAATTACTTTGTAGACGGGCAAAAGAAGTCAGAATGCACAGATTTGAATTATAAAAGAACTTAAGAAACTGCTGAACCTTTCGTGACATTCGTCTACAACGTGGCAGTTCGTGGCCGCTCTGAATTGGTCTCCTTCTCCTACATGTTTTCACTTTAGCTCTTGTACTTAAACCTAGATGTACCGGAGTCTGTGGTGTAGTGGTAAGATTCTTTGCTGTCGCACACACGAGACCTATGTACATGAAAGGGGAGATAATCTTATATTATCGAATATCTAGGTCTTTCTGGTATGATGTTCTATCCTTCCCGTCCTGGGTTGGCCATGATAGGTAGGATCGGAAGCCCGACTCCTAAGTGGTCGACGTTGTGTTGATGGGAGCACCAAACACCTCCATCGAAAATTATCTACATGTTCATGACATGTTATGTGACTGTTACTCTTCCCACTCACTGTAAACATCATTCGATCTCAAAAGTATTCTAATACATAAAGTTAAGGACAGTGCAAATAATGTAGCCGTTTGAGTTGGACAATTATGAATATTTCACTTCAGGAGAATAAGGAGGAGGGGGTGGACAATGAGGAATAGGTATGGTATGGGTTTAACCTCTATCAGGTTATTTAAGAGGCGGGACCTGCGAGTTTAACGTCGATCTCTGAAAGGACCGAGCGAATAGGAATTTCGAGTAAAGTGCCTCCAAGGACACAAAGTCAAGTCGAGCTGATGCTCGAATCCCCGAACCCCATTCTAACGAGTCCGGTAGCCTAACCACTAGGCTACTGGTGCCACTGGAATATGAGGAGAAACTGTATTACGATGAGAAGGGTGATCAGAAAAAGACGACCAATGAGAAGAAAGAAATAAACAGCATAAAACCAAACAGTAAAGGCGATATGATGGGGGTTTTTTTAAGGAAGAAAAATTGCACCGTTTGATATGGAAATTTATGACACGTGTCTTGAACGTTTTAAAAAGTCAATATGATCATCTAAAATATATGAACCTCCTATTTAAAGTTTATCTTCAAAAACATTTCACTATAGGGGTAAAAAGCCAAAAAAAATCCCCAAAAAGAGCAAAATTGTAAGTTACTTTGTTGAGAACTGGAACTGGTTCTTTTAGCACTGAAGTCTCATGTTATGACGTCTGATGGGCGTATCGTGCGCCCTGTTAGAGAAGTAATAATGCTGTGCCATAGACTTGAATTTTAATATTTTAAACCGGGTACTATCATGTCCATCGCTCTCTACTCTCTCTAAAAAAAACCTAGCTGCTCTGGTTCACACCTGGGCGTACAAATGAGGGGCAAAAAATTATTTTCACTATTGTCGAGTGCACGCAAGCTTTCCCTCTTCGTCCTTCATTTGGTTCCAAATAGAGTCAATTGGTGCGCTCCGTGAAGTTACGTCAGAGAGCGCAGTCTTGGATATTATAATACACGTCTATGGGTTGTTGTTACATTTTGACGTCAACATTCTGCCAGCTGGAACCCTCAGTGTTTACTAAAGTAAGCATAGCGCACGTGCTTACATGTGTAAAGACATGTGCTCGCTCTATAAGAGACTTGTCGGTCCGCACAATGCACTGACGCGGTAAAGCAAAACGGTCGCCGATTGGGGGAAACCGAAGGGTGTTTAGGTTTAGGAAAACTGGAAATCGAAAAAAAAAAAAGGAGGAAAAAATCTACCCACGACGCGAGAGGAAGAGAATGGAAACGAAGCAAATTGTGCATGAGAAACCTGCGGGGCAAATTTATGAAGGGGTAAATTGTTAGTTTTGGGCGTCGTTTCTTGTTGCTCTGTTTTCCTGCCTGCCAAAAACGGGCATCACAATGGAAGGCTGCTCATTCATCGTGAGAGAGAGAGAGAGAGAGAGAGAGAGAGAGAGAGAGAGAGAGAGAGAGAGAGAGAGAGAGCTATTTGCATGGCTGAATTAACCAACAGCTCCAGATTCTAACACTCACTTCAGCCGCTGGCTATCCCTTTTGTTCCCACATATAGTTTATTTTTAGCCACTGTGCATGCCTAGATAACAAACGGCATTGTCTAAAGCTTCTTGCGGGATGAATATTTCTTTCACTTCATCCAATTCAATGAACGAAATTTGATTTTTGTGCGTTTAGATAAGACTTCATAGTCTTATTTTCTTGAAGGATAGAATCTGGACTCATGGTTCAGAGTAATATATTATTATGCTTTTGAGGATAGGGGACAGTGAAATTGCTTTCTATCTAAAAAAGAAAAAAATCAGGAAATGAAGAACAACATCTGGTCAAGTACTGTTTTATTATGAACCTGCAGGCAAAGATCAACAGGATTTCCTGGTGAATCACGACATGCATTCCCCTTTCCCCACCCTCAATATCATACCCCATCCCCACTCCAACACCGCCTGTTTCTATGCTCAATAAAACAAAAGCTGCATGGCTGCATGATCCCGCAGTTTCCCCAGGAACCTGAATCTTTGAAGGTGGGTTTTGTGAACAGGCTCAAGAGTATCGTTTGTAAAAGCTCTGCTGAGTCTAAAATAAAAGAATTTCCAAGGAGATCGTTAACTTTGTGTCTGTTTTCTTTTGTGTGTGTTGTGGGGGGAAGGGGATTGTTGTTGTTGTTCCCTTATTTTTTAATTTCTTCTTTTTTTGGGGGGGAGGGGGCAGAAGTTTGAGAGTGTTTATAGGCAAATCTTGTCTGAGAGGGGTATAAGAAACTGTAACTTATACCCAAACTAGAAAAGAAACGTTCTCATATCATAAAATTCCCCCAAAACTGGCTACTGAACTATTATCTAATTAATAAACAATGCATGCCTCAACAAAATTATGATCAAGGTTGGGTGGAACAAAAATGAAGAACACAAACAGAACAGACCCTGGAGCTCTAGGATACAACAAAAATCTTTCTATGTAAACTGTCAGTGATTAGAATATGAACTAATACTATGAGTCAGGGAAACATTAAACACCCACGGCATCCCCCTGACCCAAGCTCTCCGGCTGGCGACAGAGAGGCGTCTCTTTCTTCCCGCGACACCCAAAAGGGTATAAGCGGCGGAAAAAAGTAAAGTAACACTGCTATCTACGCCCCCGATGTATATATAATCATTATAAGACATTGAGAGTAACCATGAGTCAATCTGTGTGTGTATGTGTGTGTGTGTGTGTGTGTGTGTGTGTGTGTGTGTGTGTGTGTGTGTGTGTGTGTGTGTGTGTGTGTGTGTGTGTGCGTGGGAGTGTGTTAGAGAAAACATATCAATTCATTTATATTACCATGTAGTAGGGTTCGGTCTCCTTCCTCAACCTAACCATGTAGTAGGGTTCGGTCTCCTTCCTCAACCTAAATAAAATGATTGATAGAAACGTATCCAATACAGGCTGGCTCAATGAACTTTGTATAGTGTCCTCCACACCCTTTTCAAACACAAACACACACAAACACACACACACATACACATACACACATACACAACACACACACACACACACACACACACACACACACACACACACACACACACACACACACACACGCATCATTGAAGGTCGACACTTTTGTCCAGATATCTGACTTGTAAATCAAAAGTTATGATTAAGCCCAACAAAACCGTTGCGCGGAGTTTTCTTTATGTCAACGCCATGGGGACAAATGAAATTCCCTTGGGAAGATAGAAGGGAGCTTTTGCTTCTTAGTTAACTTTTCTTGCAGGAAAGTTTCGGAAGAGTTGTTTAGATATAAGGTAAAAAAAGGGCTCGACAGATTCAACGATAGAACTTGGACCACACACATCAGGAACGATAGCAATCTTGTTTATAAGACACAAAAGTCTTCCTCAAAGCACTGCTGCTAAAGCTGTGCAAATAGTACCCCGGGGCTTCCTGAACTGAGTTATATACACACCATCACAGGCGGCAGATAGGGTATAATCGTTGCATAATAATTGTTATAGAGATCTGGCTCTCTCTCAGAGTGAATGAAGGTGTAGTAGCCTATGAGGCAGAGGTATCTTTGAGGAGTGTTTATGAAGATGAGATGCTGAATCTTCTTTTGGCTTTTCAAAGTATGTGTAAGGAAAACCTCATGGAAACATTGATATTTTGTTGCCTTTACGTGTGCATGTTTGGGTAAAGAGTTTAATTGAAATTACTCAACTGTATCAATGGTTTAAAAAATTTGTTTCAATGAAACTTGAAAAAAAAATTAAAATACAAAAAGAGTAAATTGATCTATAGACAACCCAGTGGACGCTAATGTATCCGTAAGCGGCGAAAGCCGTAGGTGTTTAAGGTCTTTGAATAATTTCAGAATCGCTCATTTCTCAATGTTTGTCGTTTTATTATATAGACATCTGAAGAGCAAAACGTATATTGTACCTCCCGTTTAGTTACATACTCCCCTCATGCAGGTTTGAAGTTACACACAGTCAAAAACACGCTCAAAAGAGGTGAAAAACCTACTCACCACGATATCTGTGTCCCAACGACAACCCAGCCAGCTAGTGGCCAAGCGTGGACCACGCCCCTTCCATTCTCCACACACTGAAGGCGTAACTGAGCCGTTCACTGGCTACGTAACTGCAGCTGCTGGACAGCTTGCTGTCCTGCTCGTCACTACGAAGGACCTGATATAGAAAGTCGATGTATCGGGAAGCTAACTTGAGTGTTTGAATTTTACTCAATTTGTCAGAAGGCAAAGTTGGAATGATTTTCCTCAACTGCGCGAAAGCTTCGTTGAGAGACTGAGTCCTTTGTCTCTCCCGCACGTTAGCAAGGACCCTCTGACTCTGAAGATCTTCAAAACTTTGAGATTGTTTCTTGCTTTTCTTACGGCTACTCGGACCGGAAGAGGACGAGGAATCGTGACCGTCTGAAGCTCGGTGTGGGTGACTCGGGTCTCCGCTGTCAGACAGGCACGAGTGAGGGGAGAACACGATTTCCTGGTTCGAAGTTTCCGGATTTTGGTACAAAGAATTTGACAACTCGTCCTTCGGAGATTTTATGGAATATTCGTTGGTTACTGAGTGTGGATACTGGCGTTTCCTCGAATTCTTTTTGTCATCCGTGTTTACATTTGAAGAGTCATAGCCTTCGAAAACAGAATCCTGTTCAAATGCTAAGGAAGACTTTTGGCCTCCTGGGGGAATGGGCTGGAGTAAATGCTGTTGATTTTGTTGCTGATGTTGATGAAGATTTTGATTTTGGTGCTGATGCTGAAGCTGACGCTTCTGATACTGTTCATATTCTCCCTCGGGAGCAAGCGAGTTTGCTGGACCTTTCAGCGCGTGCGGCGAGAAAGAGTGAGGATTATTTCTCGACTCGTTCATGCTACTGTCACTGACGATGTGGCTGCTGCTGTTGTGATTGTTATTGTTGTTCAGGTCACCATGAGAAGTTGGGAGAGCCGAGTGGTCAGAAATCATCATCGAACCTGTCCGGAATATAATAATGCAAGAGTATTAGTTTCATGGAGATTTTTTGTTGTTGTGGCTACATGGATGTCGCCCTTGTCAATTTGGGGGGGGGGGGGACTCCATATTTTAACTGGGGGGGAGCAAAGAATACACATGCCGTGATACTAGGTGTCGTTAGATGCGACTAAAGGTGCATTAGATCTGGTCTCCCAAAAAGTGCAAGTTTGTGGAGGGCCATCTACCCGACCCAGTAAAAACAGTCAATTTTTAGAAACACGGACAAACACTGCTGCTTGTATTTCTACCTTGAGAGTCGAGAGATGGAGGAGCTTCTGCATTAGCAGGAACAATGAAGGACAGCGGACAAATCCGAAAGGATGTACAGAAAAGTGGGAAGACATGAAATAACATCAAGAGGTTAGCCCAGGATAGAGAAAAGTGGAAAATGTTTGTCCGTGGCCTATACTCTGGTGCAAGGTGAGAAAGGCAATAATGAAACATAGATGCAATCTAAAAAAGAAAAAGAAAGTGACACTAATTCAAAAAAAAATTATCTAAGAATCTTTAAAAAACTACAACAACACAATTTAAATTAAAAAACAAAAAAATGAATTTGTTTATGGCCATGCTCGCAGTTATTCTCAACTCCAGCTCCGTCCTAAAAGAAAAATAAAGAGACCAAAAACTATCCCATTCAATAAATACCACATTTTAAAAAACATTGACTCTAAACCCAACAATATCACTTTCATTCAACAACGAGAGCTGACAACTTGATAACTTTATTTCTTATTTGACTACTTATTTGAGTGGGGTAGGATGTTAGACGAGAAACCTGATCATGAACCTGATGTAACTTATTAATATTGCATATTATTACTTCATTTCATTTTTGACGGTCCGTTGTAAGTTCGTGTCTTTTCTTTTATTATAGATACTCAGAAGGTATTTGAAGGTGGGCCTATCACGGCGAGATTTCGACGATCGCCAGACAGGGTTCTTTGAAGAAAAAAAATAGTATTCGCGGAGAATAATAATGCTCCAACCCACTTTTGTTGGGCCAGTGAACTAAGTAATAAAATAAAATGTAAATATATATAAATATGTATAGGCATTTTATATACAACATATTATTTTTAGGAATTCTATTTGAGACGAGTAAAATGCTCCCAATTGCAGTCCTAGTCGGTTTCAGGCTGAGTGTGCACAGAAACAGAACGTAGAAACACGAATTCACAAACGCCCAAGCCCAAGGCAATGGTAACGTATGCACATGTGAGTATTAAAAGCGCACTATAAAGATAACCAAGGGAGCGGTTGTATGGAGTCTGGGTGTCTGCTGATAGCGTAAATAAGTACTTAAAAATTAAGCCAATAAAGTAGTGTGTGTTCTTTATCACGGCAGAAAAGAGGGAGCTAAAAAGGTAGGGTTTTTTTGTCTTGAATAGACTATGTTTATTGCTAGAATCGGTGTAAATTGATTATTTTTCCCTTAAAATAAACGATTAATCAATTGTTGAGGAATATATATATATATATATATATATATATATATATATATATATATATATATATATATATATACATGCATATTATATATATATACATGTATATTATATATATATATATATATACATATATATGTATATATGTGTGTGTGTGTGTGTGTAAAAGTGATCTGCAAAATCTACGGTATCAGTAGTTAATATTTTACACGGTTGTACAAAAGACAAAAAGTACAACGATAATGGTAATAACACATTGATAAAATTTGATACTACTACTACTACTACTACTACTACTACTACTACTACTACTACTACTACTACTACTACTACTACTACTACTACTATAAGTACTACTACTACTACTACTACTACTACTACTACTACTTCTACTACTACTACTATTTACGCTTATGACAAGAAGAAGAAGAAGAAGAAGAAGAAGAAGAAGAAGAAGAAGAAGAAGAAGAAGAAGAAGAAGAAGAAGAAGAAGAAAAACAACAACAACAACAACAACAACAACAACAACAATTACAACTATGATAATACTAGTAATATTATTAACAATAAAAATAGTATAAAAACAGAGAATGATAAAAAAACAATAATAATAACAATAACAATAATAATATAATAATAATAAAGATGATGATATTCATAATAATAATAATAATAATAATAATAATAATAATAATAATAATAATAATAATAATAATAATAGTAATAATAATAATAATTATTGTTTTATTTTTTTATTTTTTTAAATAACAAAAAATAATAATAATAATAACAATGTGCTAATACAACTTTTCCTTTAATAATTTTTTAGTCATTGCTTTTCCTTTTCTCAAGCCTTTTCGCTATGCTTTGAACGAACACACCATTGCACATCACGTAATAAGTGAACGCATTCATAATATTTTGTTACCATTGTGTGGTTGTTTTAGTTGATTTTTTTTCTCATGTTGCGGATGAAGCCCGAACGAGGGAAATGTCGAACACGTTTTTAATAATGTCATAAAATTTCTGGAAAAAAAATAGTTCTACATATTTAATATATATCTTTTTTTTTTCTTTACGCACTTACAAAAAACAATAATAAATGATGATATTCAGAAACCCTATACAAATTTCAAAGAGGACATAAAATTAATATCACCCCCCCCACCCCCACCGCTAGCACCCCCACTTGATTGACGCTCAGTGACAATGAAGTATTAGATTTAACACTACCCCCCACCCCCAAATGTCAATTTATGCATAAAACAAAACTGCAAGTTTGAAATAATAGCAACCGAAGGTAAAAGTTAAACTAAGGCAGGAAATCGATTCTTTAGATCATCGATGTAAAAGGCAACAAAAAAAAAAAAATAATAAATAAATAAATAAATAAAAGTAAGTAAACAAACAGCAAAAAATAAAAAAAGAAAGTCTGAAACTATGTGCCAAAAACTGTACCCACATAATTTACCCCCGTAGGTTAACAAGATTTTTCATTGAAACAACCCAAAAAGATAATATTACCTGAGTCAAACATTCAATATACCGAATAATTCTATGAAATGTGAAAATTACAAGAACAAAATTATAAAGCTTGAAAATTGGAATTTTTTAAAGATGACGTAACTATTTTGTGAACTATGCTAACTTCCCACCAAAAATTAGTAATGGATAATTGCTAAAAAGAAAAACAGTTGTTTTAGTTGTAGTAAATAAATTAAAAATAAATAAATGCAAATAAATAAACAAATAAACATATAAACAAATGATATAATAAATAAATAAATAAATACATTTAAAAAAATAAATAAGTAAATAAATAAATAGATATATAAATAAATGGAGAGATTATATAATTTTAAAATATAATAAAGTATACAAACGTGTGAAGAAAAATAAACAGTACCAAACTGCTTTTTAAAAATAAATGCAGGAGGGAGAATTATGACATGTCGACAGAAACAGAAATGTTTTTTAAAAAATGAATCGTTTTCTTTTCAAAGTGAGGTAACATAATTTTATGTCGTGGCAAACTTTTAAAGCTGAATATTTTCGTTCAGAAAAAGAGCGAGAGAGAGAGAGAGAGAGAGAGAGAGAGAGAGAGAGAGAGAGAGAGAGAGAGAGGGAGAGAGAGGGAGAGAGAGGGGGAGGGGGGAGGGGTGCTGAGGGTGAGGAGTGGGGTGGGGTGGGGGGGATTGGGTGTAGGACACCACATTTACATGACGTATTTGAAAAACAACAAAGTTCAAAGATTTTCTTTTTAAAAGCGGCACAACCCCGATTACAATGGCAGGGTGAGAGATGATGACATCACCTGGCTCGTATTTCTTGTCCCGGTGACACACCGACTCCTGGTCCTGCGGACAGATGAGCACCATATTTCCCCGAGTCTACGGTCCTGGCCTGCTGTTGTCCTGCTGCTGGTGGTGCTGGTGCTGGTGTTGCTGGTGCTGCTGCTGCACATGTGGCCAACAGACACCACACACGCTACTACCGCAACTGCTCACCTACACCAACGTGCCCGGCCCGCTGGGAGGTAGAGCCTAGAGCGAGCACTGGTTTGACACCATCGTATGCCGCACGTGTGGAAACGTCGGTTGTTGTGGTCACTTGAAGGGTTAGATTATCTGTTAATGACAATATAACGGAATAAAAAGTTATGTGATGTGATGTAGGGGAAAAAAGTAAACACGTCACGTGAGCATATCTCTACCTTTATGCTACATATATATCTGTAAAAAATAAAGTTGTTATTATTTTCATTTTTTATTTGAACTGTTTGATGAACTGATTAAAAAACAAAAACAAAACAAAATCAAAATATAGTATCATCAATTCATGTAGGCACGTTTGAGAATTATTTGCCTGATACAGAATTATATAGCAAGAGGTGTACAAGGGACCAGGTACATAAGGAAAAACAGGGTGGTAACAGGTTTATCTTTTTCAAAGACAGTTTAAGTTTTAAAAACGTTCAAACCTGTGCACTCTGGTAAGAAGTTTGTCTTTTTAAGCATCTACCACACGAGGGCTCTCAACACGTGCAAGAGTAGTTCAATCTTCCAAACATATCGATAAATCCAGCGCTTACGAACATCAAACAGTCGCGAGCCGTGGCCACTGTATCAGACCTGCTGTTTGCGTGCACGTGCAAGCAATAGAGACAACGGTCAACACGGCTGCTCACACGGCGGCGAATAATCAGTTACTTCGTGCGTTTCTCTCGGTGCCTACTTGCGGCCTATTGAAGCACAAGCGCGGGTTCTCCCAAGTCACATGCCTGTCTTCTTACTTGCTGAGCGCGAGCATCTTGCCAACGTGAGCAACGAACGACGGCTCCTAACCGCGAGGGAACAGAGGGAGGATTTTTTGTGTGCTTTTACTCACTCGCAGGAGACTCGAGAGGAGCCAATCTCAGGGAGAGAGAGAGAGAGAGAGAAAGAGAGAGGAAGAAAGAGAGAGAAGACTTCGGCTTAGCCTCACAGGGTTGATGCTTGAGCAAGCGTTGATCGGCGGAGGGGAAGAGGAAAGACAGTGAGTTGGGATTAAGGAGTGCGAGCGGGAAATACGGTCGGTTTTTGTTTAGGTCGAGGGAGTTAGAGAGTATAGCACCTCGGACAGAGAAAAGATGCTTTTCTGTAGTGACTTACAATACTGCTCTAGGCTGAAATAATAACCTACTGACGATGTACTGCCTTGGAAGATAATTTCAACGAACCCTTCATGTAGAGCAAGACATGAAATCAATTTTTAAAAATTCTTTTCAGTTCACTGAATTCGGTCCCCCAAATTTGAAGTATCATTGTACTCACAACTGCACAGTATTTAGGTCATTTCGAAAGCAAAGCACTGGGTCTAGTTTCGTGGCTCGGGACTAAGAGGGAGCAGACTCCTCTAAGGAAGAGAAGAAAAAAACCCTACAAGGACGAGGCTTTATACTCCGGACCTACGATGATGACAATTTTACCAACCAACTACGCCTCGATACCCAAATTAGTGCATCTTCCAAACAGATGCACAAAGAAAAATATCCGAAAGAAGAAAACAAAAGAATAAAAGGCAAACATTCCCCCCCCCCTCCCCCACACACCCTTTTTCCTTCTTTCTCTTCAAAACAGAAAACAATCTGTTTCATGCCCTATTGAAATTAAATTACTTGGTGGCTTTGTTCTGATCATCACGCTCATTTTCCTTCCGTTAAGGATATGGTGCGCGCAACGGTGTCATTTGTTGATAGACAAAGTGCAGGGAACGTAATTAGTTACATCAAACCTCAAAGTCATTACGGCGAAATGTGGCCATTATTGTGCCAACTCTCTGCAAACTTCAACTCCATGTTAACTCAAAGCAATTCCAGTGTATCAATGAAGCGAAAAGCAATGGTCCCGTATCGCCATCCATCCGTAGACGCATTCCCAGTTGCAAGAAAGCCAAACATCCAGTCTGACGATCAAGTAGATAAAAACAGAACAAATACAAAATTGTACATGTATACTACATTTCATTCCACTATATCATTTCAGCTGACCACACACAAGCTAATGTATTTAATTTACGAATGTTCTTTTCTTGCACACCCTATATGTTCACCCATTTTCAATAATGGCGTTATTCTAACGAACAGTGTGTTCTGATTTTGCTTGTCTCTGTTTAGATGAAAAGTGGTAGATATTTCCAAAGCAAATTAACATAATATGTGCGGGCTTTTAAACAAGCACACAAAAAATAGAAAGAAAACAAAGAAAATAAGATGACCACGCAATCTAAACAGTATGAATGTTGTTATGTTGATTTATCGACGCTCGATGAACAGGGTTTTTCAATAGCCAATAAGGTTTAAAATTATAATAGTCTAACTTCTTTTTTTCATTAAATTGTTGAGAACAGGAAAGTAAACAAAAATCATCGAGCTACAAATTACGACGTGCTTTCATCCCATTATGGTTTAAAACATTCATGTCATGATTTTCTTTAGATAAGAAACAGTCTGTAGCAAAAATATGACCATGGACCTACATTGCCGTTTTCTGCTTTACTTTTCTGGATTCTAGAGAGAGCTTCTTGGTTTCAATTTGTTGCTTAAACCTTTTCATACTTTACTTTAACAATATTATGTTCATTAAACCCCCAGAGTCACTAACATTTAAAGAAGAACCTGTTCCATTTTTGGTCCATTTAGTTTATCAACAACTAGCCAGCGTTTTTGGTCTATTTATTGAACAGGCTCTGACTTTGTATCTTTACTCTGAATATAGAGGGAAATTGAGATACGAAGAGGAGAAGCAAATAACAGCGGCCGCCTCCCATGCCCCTTCTTCATCTTCATTCTGTTTAAAACTGCTAACAACAACGGTCTCGCCATCTTTTGCAGTGTAGTGGTTATGTGCTTCGCCGTGGCACGCAGGAGACTTGAGTTCCATGCCCGTGAGTGGAGAATGCTTATCGAGAATCTCGGTCTTTCTGGTGGGACATTGGAACCGGCTCAGCCCGGGCTGGCCCTGATAGGCAGGGTCAAAGCCTGAATGCTAAATGATCTAAATCATTTCGATGGGGGCGTAACTACCCCCCCCCCTGCTATATTCGAATAAACCCCCTAAAAACCAATGGCCTCTATATGAATGCAGGTGCGTTATTACAAAGGGTATAGAAGACAACTCAAGGGAGAGTAAACGTTAGATTTAAGGAAAAACCAAGATGAATAAAAGTGGAAAGTAATAAGACATCCACAGACTAATTTTGCAACCAAAACAAGAGGATGGACCCAAAGGAATGCACATGGGGTGGTTTGTGTGGATGTAAGTGTGTGTCTGTGGGGGGGGGGGTTACTTTTGAAAAATGAAACTTCGACGCCAGTAGTGTATTGAAGACTATTGGAGAGGATTCCCTTTAAAAATTGCAAAGTTTAAAAAAAGAACAAACCAATATCGGATGACTCATCTCGACTATTCAAGATGAAGAAAAATATTTTATCCTAGATTACATTTTACTTTTTCCCCATAAACACCACACTTCCATGTGTTTTCTGGCACTTCAGAATTTCACTTGCGCTTTCGTCGTTTTAATTCCAGGTTCAGAAATCCGGAACAAAAAACATAGAAACTGCCTTGAGTGCTCGAAATTGTTTCACGGGCGATGGATATAAACATTCAAGATTGGAGGAAATCAAAGGAGAACAAGAACGAGTGTAGAAAGAGAAAGAGAAGGACACTATAGAGGTTAAAGATCTCAAGTTCTAGCCCACAGCGTCAACATTCTAGACCCCTAGCCCTTCTCTCAAGTAGAATAAGGGAGGGGGGGAAAGATTTCCCCCCATAAAGTCGTAGCAATGCCAAAAAACGGTGTTCTCGTAAAACGCTGATGTTTTGATGAAATAGGCTTTCTTCCAAGCTTCAAGGGCCGAGGTAATAAGTGACTCGCTCATGTTCGACGAATACCTTCGGGGATTTATGATCATGAACGCAACCCTGCTTCAAGGGCATTACGGAGTTCCTTATGCTTCAGAGAGATATTTTAATAACGGTGATGGATTTCTTCGTGCGCGTTCAAGTTCACCCCACGTGATTAACTAGCCGAGTCGTCAAGACCTAGCGGTTGGGAAAGGGAGAAGGTGGTGGCGGCAGACAGACATACAGCCAGCCAGACAGACTGATAAATAACTAGTTCTTGTATAAAGTTTTAGTAAAAGTTTTGCGGCACTTGCAAGGCAAACAGGTCAAATTTGCCAAAGATTAGAGGTGCTTCTAGAGAGTAACATACAAAGAAAAGAAAGAGGAGAGCTACGTACGATAAATGTTTGATAGGGAAAAGGAGCAGACCACACCAGCACGCCAGTCAACCTCTCACAGATAGACATTTAGATAGACAGAGGGTGCCACCAGTAGTACCTACTTCTTTACTTTCCCTTTTTTGTTTCTGCTTGTGTCTTACATTTTTCCCGCACTATGTAATCTTTATTGTGTCGGTGTGCTTCTTTTTACTCAAACAAACAATAGTATATATATATATATATATATATATATATATACTCAGAGAAAGAATGAGGGAGAGAGGGAGAGAGAGGGGGACAGACAGACAGACAGACAGACAGACAGACAGACAGACAGACAGACAGACAGACAGACAGACAGACAGACAGACAGACAGACAGACAAACAGACAGACAGACAGACAAACAGACAGACAGAAAGGGACAGAGGGTGGGGGGAATCAGAAGCAGTAGAGGTAAAAATTGGATGTTATAGGCGAATGACATTTTCGTAGAGGGGAAGGGGGAGCTTGAACTGCAGTTTAGTTAGACCAGAACATTCGAAATGACTCTTTGAAAATGTTGGTTAGCTCATAAACATAATTTATCTTCAAATTACCTTTGAAACTTTTATATTTCATCATACGAAGACCAAACGACGCTTCATGTTTCATTGTTTGTATAGTGTTCTCTGTTTTTGGCCTTCTATATTTTGATTTCGTTAAAAAAAATATATACATGTAAATTGTTGGTTTTAAAGCACGGGTTCCTCAAATGTACAAATTATACGGCAAACGTCTTTCTCTTAAAGCGCTATTAGTATTGAATAACTGAACAATGTCGATGCAAAAACAACAGTTAGAAGCAAAACAAAACTACATACATGCATTTCAAGAAATTGGAAAATTCTATTCTGCCCAGCGTGCGTAGAGGGGAAAAAATAAACGACAGTAGCAAAAAACCCCAAAAAAACAACCCCCCCCCCCCACAATAAACAAGTCTCTTTCATGAAGAGATATTTCCTGGGGTTATTTTTTAGAAATGTAGTTTGGTAGTTAAACTAACATTCTGAGCAAATTAGTTTTTAAAACCCAAATACTAAATATATGTTTTGGAACTGGTTTAAAAAAATATCTCCGCTTGCTGTTAACGAAGTTACTGTTTACTTTTTTAAATAAGTTTTTCTTATGTTCAACTAACAATCTGGAAAGTCGAACTAAGCTTAATCCACACGTATTTTATAATGTGTTACCAACTAATACTGATACAGGTTTCCTTCCCCATAGCAGTATTGTGCATTAAAGGACATCAATTACTAAGATAAATGTTGTAGAAGTTGTATACTGCATTGAAGAACATCTTTATTACCATCATTTGCCTGAACATAGTATATTTCATCAGTTTCAATTTCTTATTTCTCATCACATTTTGTTAAATATTCAGGTAAAGTCTTTGTTATCCAAAGATGAGAACTTGGATTTAACGAACTAAATTAGGCTTTAAGAAGCATGATCTCCGAATG